TGTTATTTGATAGTTTAGTCAATTAAGTGAATTGGTTAACAGTTGCATCTTAACATCCTCTACTTACTTCTTTACCTGTTCATGGTCTTACTGAGTGCATAGAAGAAAGAAGTTGTATAACTGATTGAATAATTTTGAAATACCTAATCCTTGATTCATGTCTGAATCTGATTGCCTTCCATTATCTTCTACTTGTCTTTAGTATTTGACAGCTGGTAAAGTTCCTGGAAGACTGCCTACACCTTGTATTGAGCTCAGCTTTCTTTCCCTAAGGATAAATTTCAATGACGTAGAGGAGAGTTTGGCTGCTCTTTGCCTTCTTAGAAGTTCACCTAATCTACAGGAGCTTGAGATGTTGGTGAGTACATCCTGCTTCATGAGTTTGGTACTTCAAAATTTGTCATGTAATACATTGTTCTGTCAAATTTTAATGTTATCTTGCTACCTCATGATTCTTACCACTTGCCTAGTGCTTTTTTTAAAGAACTCATTTGGACATTGCTACTTGGGAATTTACTTTCTATTGATTTGATGAACTTTAACCAGGCTCGGCCTGAGGAGCAGAGTGCCATGAGAATTTCTGCAAATATTGTGGAAGAAGATTATGAAAATTGTCCATTTAATCAACTGCGATTTGTTAAAATTGCTGGCATCTCTGGTCTCAGACAAGAACTGAATTTTATCAAATTTCTGCTTGCAAATTCACCTGTTCTCGAGAAAATGACTGTTAAGCCGGGTTCAACCGATGGAGGATGGGAGTTGCTTAAAGAACTGATGAAGGAGTTGCTCCGATTCCGGAGAGCTTCAGTACAAGCTCAAATTATTTACCTGGACCCTTAATGTATTCTTAGCCATTCACTGATGGATTTATGCCTTTTGAAGAATAGTCACTTGCTGACATTATATCCGTCAGTTAACTTTCGATTATCAGTATTTGAACCCTTACAAGATTAGTGTTATCATTGGACTACCGTTGTTAAGTAATTTGAGCCCATTCCAGCAAATCCAATTTATGATTTTCCATCGATCAGATGTGATTATCAAACTAGCATACGATCTGTGACCTTTTGTGAACTTTCCATCCTTGACGTTGCTTTCTGTGACTGGTACGGCAAGCCTGCTTCTTGGTTCAGATGAGGTGCATATGGTATCTTCTTGCCATGCACCAACACTTTCTCAGCTTCATGCTAGGTGATTTGCAATGGTGATTACTATGTCATTAACAGTTGTTTCAAGGACTTCCTCATGATTTTATCCTTTATACAATGCCATGCCTTTGTTATGGATGATGTGAATGGCAAGGTTTTAGCCCTGTCGGGAGATAAATCTCTTTTGGACCAGCTTAGAATGCGGTCACAGTGGATTTAAGGATTTTCATTAATCATGAGGAATCTATTGGATATCTAACATGCTTATTGCTGTGAAAGATTTTTTTTTTTTTTTGGTTTGAGAATCTCAAGCATGGATCTAAAGGACCCAAAAGTAGAGAAAATAGAACCCTGTCAAATGGAATTGATGCATCTTTGTAGATTTTTTTCTTTAAAAAAAAAAAAATCAGGAGTAATACCCACCTTTTCCTTGTTTTTAACAGCAAAAAGACTCCAGGGAAGTTTGTTGGGTCGGGGTTGGGGTGGTGGTGGAATGGGGAATACCATGTGGTGTGGTGGAAAAGGAATGGCTGGTCGGGTTTCAACTTTCCTTGTCAGCTCCAATTTCTACTGGAATTTGAAAAAGTTACCAAATGGAAGTACCCCCCCCCCCCCTTCAATTTTAACAGAAACTGAAAAGAAGAGGAGGCAATCAATGTTTTGAAACCAAAACCGTTAATTAAACCAGCAAGGTGTTTGGATCGCAGTTCAATCGATCTTAGTTCAACTTCGATTCAATGAATTTTTTTTTAAAAATAAATTATATAAATACATATGCACAGGATAAGATATTCAATTGACTAATTTAGGATTTTATCTGATAAAAAGTTTGATATTTTTAAAGAACTTGGACTATCACAAATTTTTTTAAAAAAATTATAAGTTCAAATAAATAAATTTCATCTCAATTGTATTTACTAAAATATAATCTTAAATCCTACCCAAGAATATTATAATATTCTGAAATTAAACAAAATTCATGTCTTTAGGAATTAGACATTGTGAATTTAAACCATGTATTTGGGGCTTAAAGATTGCAACTTTGTTTTTTTTTTTTTTAAATGGAGCTTGGATGAAATCATGAAACTAGAAAGTAGAGATTCAAACTTAATAAGAGACAAAAAATGAGAAGAAAGTGAATGGATGTGGCACTTAATGACTAACCTTTGGAGAATAAGAACCTATTCATTTTTTTTTTCAGTTTAATAGATAAAAATAAAAAATTGCCAGTTCAGCTGTTCATTCAGATTCACAGATTCTCATTAGTTCTCAAGTTTAATCAACCCAAAGTATGTACCAGACCGAAATCATGATTGGTTTGCGGTTCGATCGATCAAACAGGTCACTTTAATTTGAGTTTCAAAACACAGAAGGCAATTAATGATGAGCTAAAAATGTCATGTGGCATTCATCAATCTCTCTCTCTCACCCCTTTTTTTTTTTTAATAAAAATATTTGGATGAATTCAGCTCCGATTACTATCACGAATTAGGACATACCTCTGATAGGTAGTTTAAATGGATTCTCACTCCTTACCTATTGTCTACCAACACAGTCTTATTTCTTACACATTGTCTATCAATACAAACACAGTCTTACTTTTTACACATCATTCGTCAGTGCAATTTGACATTGATAACGGAATTTGAATACACAATTTTTTACGAGGAAGTGATCATTCTTGCCAATCGAGCCAACCTGTGCTGGCATCAATCTCCATTTCTCTGGACAAGGAAGAGCCAGGGGTAAGGAAAACGATGAATTGATGAGAGCAAATACGCCAGACATAGCTAGGTTGTGAAAAGGATTGAATCGACGAGCCAGCTGCCATTCAAAAACTCTCATCGACCAAGTATGCAATGGAGGACAACACAAAATTATAAGAATACCTCAAACTTCAAATATCTCCATTTGCAATGTTGCTTGCACATATAAAGCTAAGCTACAAACTCTTACAAATTTCTCTTAACGAAGGGGCCAGTTAGGTTCTTGTGTTGAATCAACCCACAGCCATAGCCAACTTGCTTCCATGACAGCTGATAGATAATCCTTGCTGAAATCATAAGAAAGCAATAATAACGTCAGTGGAAATCCAACTCTGCCTGCTTGAGTCATGGGGAACTGGGGGGAGCTACTTCTTGATGGTCACCCTGGTGAAGGAGAACTCCAGAAAAATGTGGGCATCGGTAAAAGGTTCGGTATAGAGTCTAAGAAGTTATGGATGATAGCTAGTCCCATTTCTCTGGGAGCCATTTGTCAGTACTCATTGAACGCTATCACATTAACTTTTGTTGGTTTTGTTGGGGAGATTGAACTCGCCGCTGTCTCCATCGGTAACTCGGTCATTTCTGGCCTTGCACTTAGACTCATGGTATGCAACAAAATCTAATTAAGTTCCATTGATGCACTTCTCATTGGTTACACACTTGCACTTCTTTCTCTGTTACTTCTGCAAAAAGTTATTTGGCCTATTATGCAATATAGGTTAAGACAAAAGCTACTTCACATAATTTGTCCGGACCATCGCCCAACCATTTCATTTACAAAATACCAAAATTTTAATTGCTCCAAATGAGAAGAATGGAGAAAATGGTGGCGTCAGTCCCAGCACTTGTTTCTTGATCCGGGAATACATTAGAGACTGCCATCAGTTCAGCAGTCGTTGAAAGCTACAAATGAGGCGAGAGAACATTCTTGATGTCAAATTAACAAATAATATTACATTCTTGCTATTTATTTTCTTCCTTTCTTTTCTTAGCTTCAAACGTGGGAGAGGTCTCCGTCTTAAATCGAATCGACATATACATATTTTTGTTTCCATCACTTGATAATCAAACAAATTATTTTTTGTTTTTATTCTACAAAAAATCGATTTTTTCTTAATTTTTTTTTTCTTTATGGAAGGTTAGGTCCATTTAGCTTTCCCTAGGTGGACCTTTTCTTGTTTGTTTTATAATTCATTGATGCGCATTTGTTTACTTCTTTAATAACCAATTTTCAGCATGCATCTACTGTGGATATTACTACTCGGAAGGATTTTTGCCAAATTTTGTCCAAAATCATATTGGTTCCTTAAGTTTTATCACATCATCAAAAAAGGCTTTTTTCCACCTTAATCATTCTCCTTCGTAAAACTGCGCTTGCTTAAAGAAGGGTAATCTTCTACACGTAAATCATAACTCAATATTCACATAAACTTTTTTTTTTGTTGCCATCCTACATAAGATCATTTTTTTCTTAATTTTTTATTATAGAAAGTTATGTCCATTTTGGCTATATTGGTGGACCTTTTCTTGTTTGATTTATAAGTCATTAATGATATATTTATTTGTTTCCTTAATAATAACTAATTTTCAATATACATGTATATATTGTATTTTTGGTAGGATTTTTTTTTTGTCTTTGTTAGTATTGGTACAATAATGCCTGAATAGTACTTGTTTCCTTTTTTTTCATATTTGCATTTCCAAATTTAATTGAATAAAAACAACCTAAGTTTGGAAATAATGAGACATAATAAATGGATGTCTTTTAAACCAAGCTGCCAGCATCATAACCCATAGTAATGTACATTCTGCTTGGAAAATTTTTTTATTTTAAAAATTGGACTGTAGGCCCGATAGCCAGCAACTTTTTTCTAATATATATATATTTTTTCCGCTGTCGGGCTGTGTCAGAGTTAAAAAAAAAAAAAAAATTGCCTTTTTTTGACACGGTCCGGCAGCCATTGATTTGCAGCGACACTGTCAGACCCATAAACGTCGACTTTTCTTTTTCTCAACGATATTTTGAGTAATTAGACTATTTTCTCATGCTTTTATTTACGAATGAAAGCAATTATGGGTTCCTTGGCCGGGGGATAAAAGAATGGAGGGCGCTTCAGTCAATTCAAGTACATTATCCCCAAAGACTATAGTACTATTACTATACTACAAGTGGAGTGCCCTCTCCTACACGAACAACGAAGAGCAGAAAGCCATGGCGACTTCCTTATCTTCTCTGGCCTCATCCTTGGCTTCTCTCTCCTTCTCTACCCAAATTTCCCAAAAACCCCATGCCTCCGCTCTCTCCTTCACTTCTGCTAAGTCCCTTTCCTTATCTAAGACTTCTACTCCCGTCATTGCCGCCTCCGCTGCTGCTGTCCCGTCGCCGGTTGATTTGGAGACTGCCGACCTCAAGCAGCTAGTCAAATCCAGACTTCCCGGAGGTTTTGCAGCCCAGACCATCATCGGCACCGGCCGCCGGAAGAGTGCCATTGCCCGGGTTGTCCTCCAAGAGGGCTCCGGCAAAATCATCATCAACTACCGTGACGCTAAGGTACTTGAATTCTCCTACTTTTGGGCTGTTTTCCTCCTCTTTCAAGATGGGATTTTTATTCTTCATATTTTTTGCAGTGATGGTGTTGTTTTAGCAACTTCGTTAGTTGGCCTGTATTAATTCTAGCTATCCTTAATTTTGTCAAGTTAATTGTGTACTGAATATGGAAGAAATTTGAATGCTCATACCGTAAAGGTGTAAACTTGCTGATTACTTTTTGTGCTTGAAGTCTAGAACCGAATTAAGCTTACTTTATCCTTCATCTTAAGTTTCATTTTTATTCTTGAGATGGGATTTTGCTTCTTTACACAGTGTGCAACACTAATGTTGGACCTGCAGCTGCCTTATATGTTAAATGGTCTGATTGTTGTAGAAATTTCATGGCATTTAGGAATATCTTCAAGGAAATCCACTGTGGCTTCAGTATGTGAAAACCCCTTTGTCTACTTTAGGATATGAGAGCAGTTATGATGTGTTTGTCAAAGCACAAGGTGGTGGTTTATCAGGGCAGGCTCAGGCAATATCTCTTGGCATTGCTCGTGCTCTACTGAAAGTCAGTGAGAGTCATAGAACACCTCTGAGGCAAGAAGGATTGCTGACAAGGGATGCGAGAGTGGTTGAAAGGAAGAAAGTTGGTCTCAAGAAGGCCCGAAAAGCTCCACAATACTCCAAGCGTTGAGGTTAGACTTTGTATACAAGGTTTTGCGGAAAGCTCTACCTAATTTCTCTTGTCTTGTGTACATGTGCACTTGGAAAACACATGCAAGCTTCTTATTATTAGTTGTTCAGTGAAGGAAAAGGATTTAAGTAATTTCTAAGTGACTGCTAAGACTTTTAGTGTGGGCAAAGCAAGTAGCACGCCTCCTTATAATACTGAAGGGTATTGAACTGACATTTTTTTTGTTGACAGTATATGCTACACACAAAGTCCTTGCATTTAAAAAGATTACTTGACACTAAGACCGCTACGTTGGATGCCTTGCAGGGTGAGAATGAATCATTAAGGGCATTGTGTTATGCACTGTGAAATGAAGGGCTAGGGCGCCATTATGTTGGGAATTACTGAATTTCTTTAATACATCAAGCTCAGTTCCTCCGTTTTGATTGATAAGTTCTTTGACCTGTACTGCAATTTGTTGGCCTTCAAGCAATAATAAGGCTGGCATTCTGTTATTGGTAGTCCTAGACGAAAAGCAAAAGTGTGTCATATTATCTTCTGGATCATGGAAAAAATATTGGATGCCTGCTCTCTGATGCATGTTATTTCTAGAGCACTACAATGGGTATTGTAATTTGTAACCCTTCGGATTTCCACCATTCGTATTTACCTCAATGTGGAAACATTTATCCATGATTAGTGCAAGGCATATGACATATATCGATCCCTTTGCCTAGTGGAGTATCATAAATCGTGAAAACATATCAATAGATTTGTTTAAGTCTACCAGACATATGAGATATTTTTGCACTTTTTAATTTCGGAGAGAATGAAATGTAATATAAAAGTTTGTGGGATCACTTCTACACAGTGAATATCAAAGGTTTCTACCAGAACAGCTAATGAATACTTCAACATGTTAAGCTTCTAGAAAATTAAAACAATTATTTGATGTGTCTTGTGCTGGTTTGGTCATCAGTAAGTTTTGCTGGTACAAAGTATTGCTCTTATCGATTGATGATTTCATTGAACATGCTGAGAACCTTTGTGCCATAAACGAGTGCAATGTGATCATTTTCTTTAGTTCTAGCTTGCAGTAACCTAAAATAAACTTGGCAAGGAAAGGGAATTGAACCCCTGTGGAAAGAAGTAGAACTATGGATGGCAAGGGTTACCGGTCCTAGTTTAGAATTGAGTTCTGCAGATGGATTCAGTTTTTGGCTTGCTGGTCCCATGTTCTTACTGGTGGTAGATTGGACTTGTGGACTTGGTTTTGTTGCTGAACAACTGTAAACTGCTCTATGAATGTCTGAGCCCCACCTATTGGTGATTTGAATATGTTTTTTCGTCATTAAAATGTTGCTGATGACGTTTTTTTTTTTTTTTTCACTCTAATTGGTATTTCCACCATGCGGTCTTGCAGGTTTGGTATTTCATTTTTGCGGTTGAAATGGACATCAGGGATCCTGATATCCTGGACAAATGAAGATAAGGTTGAAAGCTGGGATGTGTAACATTTCTGTAAATCAGTCGCTGTATATGTAGGGAACTGAGGTGACGCCCTTATTTCTGCAATTGTCACTATTCAGAATTTATTTTTGACGCAATCAATGCATCCGCTAAATTTACAATCGCCAATTTGAGGCAGACCCTTGAAGAATCTCCTATGAAGATGCTGAACTGTATCTTTGATTGAGCAAATATGTTTTCCCTTGCATAAAGTTTTCTGTCGTTCTGATTACAGGTGGTGCTATTCTCAGCTACTTTTATATACGAGACCCCCATCAACGATTCAAACTCACCAAACCATCGCCACTCTCACTGTCACTGGCATCACTCCGCCATCCCTACCACCACAGCCAACACTGCAACACTAGGCACATCACCATTACGAGATGTAGAATAATTCAGATTTGGGTGGTTACAATAGAGCAGGAGAGAGAAGACTGGAGAGCAGGGTGGAAAAGAAAGTGGGGGAGGAATACAGGGGTAAAACAGAGTTTTTCTTTTTTGGTGGGTAAGCTCATTCTTCTCATTGATAAGCAAAATGGAGTACATAGGTTCAGGGACAGAAGTCACAGAACCCTTAAACAAGTACAGCAAAATGGATGGAAAAGGAACCTATAACCATGCCACTATACAAATGAATCTGACTAACATCAAAATTGGCAGCAAGGACTTTACAGTAGTCTAGAATCTCAAAACAGAGGATTTGTTCATGTTGTCGAGGACAGATTTGCGCGGACGCATTTTTCTGTGCTCCATTGTTGCTGGTTTCGTAAAAATACATGCCCAAGGTACATCGATCAGTGTATCTTTTGTTAATGACAGCAGTTGCCTCCTCTCCTGGCTCCTGAGCAAAGGTGTTTGCAAAGGAGGAGGGGATGGAACGGTTGTCATAGACAACTGTTCCGGAAGGTTCATGGTTATGATTAGACCAAAAAAAATTTGTGCGGTTCTGATCATTCCTTGTAACTCGATTTCACAACGTATGGGATCTACAAAAATGTTGTTTTAGTGTTACTCGTTGTTGTTCTATTGTTACACCTTGTTCGGATAATATTACACCGTGTATAAATGGTGTTACATTCTCCGGAACAGTTACTCTGACAACCGTTCCAGCTCCGGATCCGTTTATAAAAGGTTTAGCCCAAAATAGTCCAGCCCCGGATCTGTTTGTAAAAGGTTTAGCCCAAAATAGTCTCTTGCTTAACGCCCAATGGCATGCACGAAAAGATTGAGACAAAATGACTACTGAAAGCTAGAGAGAAACACCAAAATGCCCTTCCTTGTTGTCTTCCCAAATTCTTTCCCATATATATACTCTTCCATTAAAGATAACAAATACCTATTATCTATTATCTTTATTTTCTTCTTCCCTGACAAATGAAAAATTAATTCTAAATGAACTCGAACTAGGTACATCCAACACGCTGTTTCCTAACTTGATTAGAACTTTTCGTTATCCATCTACATCAAGGGCCCAATCTTCAAACATGACCCTCGAAAATATTACTACTAGGTAAAATAAAGGGCAAAAAAATGGCTAATCTCAAGGAAATAGACACCCAAGAGATTTTTCTTTTCACCAAAAGACTCCTAAGCCTGAATGGAATGCTTTCCACAAATGAGATAACATTATTCAAAGTTACTTTTCTTAACAATAAATGTGATAAAACCCATCCCCCTCACGCCCTCGTTAAACAAGAAGATTATGACTAACCGATCAAAACCTTTAATTAGAATAAGCACCTCACAAAATCATCATCTGTTTTTCACCTTGTTACTATTTTCCCAGTTGGGTTTTCTAATTATTTGTTAATTTCCACACTGTACATTGTGGGGAGGAATTCAGTTGCCGGATGATCGTTCCACGTATAATAAGACTGTAAGCCCAAATAAAATTGAGTGCAATGGGGGATTATTACAATGGAAGCAGTGACGATGAGTACTATGATCGAGTTTGTGATGATGACGGAGAAGACTCTGTTGATGGGCTCCAAGACCCAGAACTCGAGACCGACTTTTATTGTTGCAGCAAAGGTCCCTCCTGTATGGTATAAATTATATTTTCTCTTATTGTTTCCTTGGTTGATGATCAAGAATTGAGTCTTTAATCTTTTATAAATTTATTTATTTATGCTAGTCCTGGGGTCCTACAAGTCCTCTACTTTATCCTATTATGTATCTTTATCTGTTTTGTTTGAGTGAAAAGAGGCTGGGGCTGAAGGCTTGGGTTTTGGAGATTAAGACACTAAGAATTTTATTTAAGATGATTTGTTATCGCTTATGATCATCTCGAGTTTTCTATGTCTTTACTGAACATAAGTTTTTAGTAAATCAGCGTGTGGAAGCGGTACTGTCGGTTACTGAAATTCTAATAGATTGCACATCAACTGAGGATGAAATATATAGCACCCAAGAATGTGAATTTCTACTCTTCTGGTTAGTCATGTATTCTGGGTTAGAAGAGGGGTTGTGCTTGTTAGCTTGATTGAGAGCTTAATTGGGAAAGGATTGAATTTGACCTCTGATACTAATATTCGTACTCCTGATTCCTGAACTTAAACCTGCTAAACAAACAGGAGTTTAAAGTTGCCGGCTTTTCTACATGCAGCTAGCATTCACTGATTTGTGTATGTTATCTAGGTCGTTATTGTACTTTTTATAAAGAGAAGAGGAACATTGGCATGATTATGTTGCTTGCCTTTTGCTCATGCAGGTGATAAGAAAAGAGTCTCTTCTGGCTGCACAGGTTAGACAGACTCATTAGATGTCTGCTTGGTTGATTTGAGTAACTCTAAATTAGAATAAAGTTTTGAGTTGTTGCTTATGTTGATTTATACAGAAAGAAGACTTGCAAAGAGTAATGGATTTGCTGTCCTTAAAGGAGCACCATGCGCGGACCTTACTGATTTATTACCGTTGGGACGTTGACAGAGTTTTTAATGTGTTTGCAGACAGAGGTAAAGAATGGTTATATTCAGCAGCAGGTTTATCAGTCAGGAGTAGCGAGGATCTTAACTCCTCTCAGTCTTCAGACGAAGTAACCTGTCAAATCTGCTTCGAGGATGTCCATGCTAATGAGTCCACGATAATGGATTGTGGCCATTGTTTTTGCAACAACTGTGAGTCTCTTGCTTAATGGCTTTCTTTCTTTTTATATTACTTTTCTCGTGATGCCAGGATCGTGCATATGCATGCTTTCTATATGAAGATTAAAAACATGTAATCAATTTCTTGGTCCTTGGAACAATTTGTTAAAATGAAATATAAATTCTGTGTTTTCTAGTTAACGTCTGGACTGGTGGCTGAAAATTGAACCTCAGAAACTGTGCAGCTGTTATGATATTCCAAATCATAACAGATTTAGAACTTCAATTGATTTGAGATACCTCGATGAATTAACACATATGAGAACTATAAGGAGTAGTTCCAGTCACTCATCCTCAGACCTGTTATTCTGTGAAGTTAGAAATGAGGTCAAACAAACTTGAGTTTTAAATTAATTTTTAAGCTTGTTGATGAGAAACTATTGAACAATATGGTTATTTGTTAAATAACTAGTTTGCTGATGATGTTTGTCATGTTGAACTTCTCAGGCACTGTAAAAATAGAGTTATCGGTGCATGTTAATGCAAATCAAGCATCTGATTTTCACTTGATTTTTTTTGAAATCTCTTTCACCAAATGTTAAACTTTGTAACCAGATCTTGTAAAAACAGCAAATTTAAAAGGTTAAGTAGAGTGAAGTTTATTTCAATAGCAAAATAGCTTGAGTTAGATGCTCCAGTTAATTGTTTAGTAGATGTGTCTATTTAAGTGCTGCTTCTGTGTTGTCATTGCAGAATGTAAGCATTTTCTGTTCTTTTCTCTTGTTAAGGTTGGACAGAGCATTTTATTGTGAAGATAAATGAGGGTCAGAGTAGACGGATTACATGCATGGCCCACGAGTGCTATGCAATTTGTGATGAAGAAAATGTTAGAAATCTAGTTAGTGGAAGAGATCCTCATGTTGCAGAAAAGTTTGGTCGGTTTCTTTTAGAGTCATATATTGAGGATAATAAGAAAGTAAAATGGTGCCCTAGCGTTCCTCATTGTGGAAATGCAATTCGTGTTGAGTGCGATGAATATTGTGAGGTTCAATGTGCTTGTGGTGTACAGTTCTGTTTCAGCTGCTCATCTGAAGCTCACTCGCCTTGTTCATGTCTGATGTGGAAGCTTTGGACGAAAAAGTGCCAGGATGAATCAGAGACGGTTAATTGGATTAAAGTGAATACAAAGTATTGCCCCAAATGTTATAAACCAGTGGAGAAGAATGGAGGATGCAACCTAGTACGTTGTGTGTGTGGACAACCATTTTGGTGCGTCTTCCTATTCTTCATTGGTTTAAGATTCTGACTCAGCTCATACAGTTTGATATGTCCAGTCACGACATTATTCATTTTGCACATGCATGTATTAGTATACCTGTACTTTGCAATCTGATCATAGTTAGCACTTACGCACAGTAAGGGCTTGGAGCTGCTATCCACGAGTTCATTGGTAGTCTCAAGTTTCCTGCATTACGTGTTGTTAACAAGTTAACTTTATTGCCTGCATGCTCCTTGCTACTTCTGTCTCATCTGCTTTCTGTACCACTTTAGTCATTCATTACCAATATTTAGGAGCGAGGAACTCTAAAGCATGTCTTTGATTTTCATTTGTATATAAGAGAGTGGTTTTTGCCTGCGTCCTAGAACTGCATGTCTTTTCTGCTATCTTACTGCTTCCCTCATATTTCAGTACATGGGGGATAACTTCTTTGTGTTTCTTTACAGCATGTTGTTAATATTTTGTCTAGGATATCTTTAGCCAAAATTAAATGACATGATTTACCATTTTGTCCTTATTTTCACAGTTGGCTTTGTGGTGGAGCAACTGGCATAAGTCACACATGGAATAGCATTGAAGGTCATACTTGTGGCCGATATAAAGAAGACGAATTGGAGAATGCTGAGCGTGCGAAAAAGCAACTTTGGCGCTATTCTCACTATTATAATCAGTTCAAAGCCCACACAGACTCTTTGAAGCTTGAAGCTACCTTGCAGGACAGGTTACAACAAAAAATTGTGATCTTGGAAGCCAAGAACCTTGAATCAAGGGATTTTAGCTGGGTGACAGATGGATTCAATAGACTTTTCAGATCAAGGAGGATTCTCTCCTATTCTTATCCTTTTGC